AAAAGAACAGATTAAAAAAATACATGTACAATTCGTAAGAAATAATGGAGATGTGAAATGGAACACCCTAATAAGCCATCAGAAGCTTGACGACAGGGGCCCAGACATGAAGCAAATTGTATTTTAAAATGTGTTTGTGGACATGTTAGATCTAAGAAAAGAAAGTACACGTAATATACAGTAACATTTATGACCTGCAAAACCCCTGAGACTATAAAAACCTAGAGACTAACCTAATGCTAACTGCTAAATATATAGCTACACATGATGTTTTTCACTATCAGAGCTTGTTTATTTTCATGTTTGCATCAAGTGGCAAGGAAAGGATGAGCACTAAAGAATCATTTTGTGCAGTATATAGCGTAATATACAGATTTTAATGAATTCATGATGTCTTCTCACACATCAGGACACTGTAATGTGAGACCAGATGCCACTATTTTTGTTTGCAAGTACCTGTCATTATATGCTGCACAGTTTTATGCCTATTTAGTTCTTGCTAATTGTTAATTGATAGCTTCCATTGCAGACATTATTAGCCGTTGGCTCTGTATGCAAGCTGTTATGTAAATGCCTATGTCTAGCTTGGGTTTGCTTTTTGCTGTCTGTGCCAGATTTACTGTTCTGTATCAGTCTGTGCTGTTGTGGTGTATTTTTATAGAACCAGACACATGCAAACTGTGACGGGCCTGAGTATTTGACACTTTCCTTTCACACAATATTTTTTTGTATCTGCTTCAAACTGCATCTAAATAAACTCTTTAAATCCAGACCTGGATTCTGCATCTCTCGTTTTTCTACACTCTGACCTGAGCACAAAAACAGTGTCCTGGTCAGACAATGTACGCACTTCCACACAATTTGATTCTTTACTTTCACAGATGACAAATTTTTATCAAGCACTGCCCGATATGAGTGACAGGAAGTACAGAAAGAGAGGGCAAAACTCTCACCTTGTGTGGCAAAGTTGACTGCCAGCAAAGTGGTCAGCACCTTGCCAAAATTCTCGCCAGTGTATAACCACTCTGGTTCAAACCCCTGGATGGAAAAGGAACAGAGAAAATGGCATCAGACCAAAAAAAAAAAAAAAAAAAAACACCCAAACCATCTGTTCATACGAGCTGGAATTCATCAGATGGGGAAGAAGAGTAAGACAAAATCAGAAGTGTTGCTACTGATAGGACAGATCTGAGCGGTAAGTCTCGCTTAGTATACACAAACACACAGACAGCCTGGACTGCAGCACAAACAATAGAGAGTGAGACACACACACAATGAAACACACACAGGGATTTGAATAAGCCCATAACAAGACAGAGATAAAAACTGACATGTTGAGCATGACCCATATTTTGTGACTTAGCGGTGTGTAATAAAACAGACAGTGCCAGACTCATTTGCGAGTCGCTGCGCACTTGCGCGCGCACATCGACGCTCGTGCACACACAGGCGGTCACACTGCTTGCTCGCTCTGTCTCAGACGGCTATCTTCTTTCCTCCAGCGGATAAGGTTTCACATTTTAAATAAAACATCTTAAATATAGAGTTTGAGTAGTTCTGCCTTGGTCATCGTGGGTTGTGTACAAACTCCTCCAGAGTTAAAGCAAGTGTGACCATTACATCTCTAGGTGTGGGGTCAGCCTGAGGGCCTACATGACGACCAAGTTTGCTTTTCATCATGCAAAAAAACAGATAATTATGCATAATATTTTGTACCAGTGGCTTCAAAAGTAGAAAATACTGGAAAAAATATTTGTTTTGATACAACAAAGCAGAGTACATACGCCTCACATCACAATTATTGACTTCTTGACCCTGGTTAGAGCCACGTTCAATGAGTCATGTGATGAATACATGTTACTCTGGATGGCTGTAGCAGTGCATAAAATCAGAACAAATAAACATCTCATGCAGTTTATAACGCAGCAAAAAATCAGTAGCCTTGAGCAGTAATTGGTGCTTCCTCTTTCTGCATCTGGGGGCAGAAGTGAAAGCAGTATGACTGCTCTCTTTGTGCAGTCACAGGACAAACAGGCACTACATTTTGCTGTGGCACGAAAAAAAAAAAAAAAGAGAGAAAAAGTTCAATGATCACATCACTGACCAAAGGATGGGTAGGGCTCGCTTGTAGCGCCACAGACATCCCCTGACTGATACATTTGACAGCAGCTCTCCAAAAAACTTCAGCCCATGAGCTACTGGCAGACCGCAAAAGGTCTAATTATGGGCTACGGCAGGGTTGGTGGATAAAAGCAAAGGGGACCTCCCAGACATAACAAGCCAGCTGGGCAGAACTACTGAACCACTTGACTTTGCAGTGAGCCAAGCTTGCTGACTCAATTAGCTGTTTAAAGAAACCAAGTGATGTGACTCAAGACCAGAAAGGATTATTTCTAAAGCTGGAGGAGAAATTACTGTCCAGTGTGGTGGTCACAAACAGGCTGGTACAGAGACAGAGAAAACTCCCAACATCTGTGAGTGATTTGCCTCCCTCCAATATTAGGACGTCATTTCAGCAGCCCTGCAGTGTACGCCTGAGGGGATTGTTATAACCTGCAAATATCAATGTCACTGCAGTATAAAAAGAGAAAGGGAATATAAAAGGAAGTATGTTGAAAACTAAGTTGTGGCCATGTGAAAACCACCAGTCAGAAGAGTTCCCCATCCTGTCTGATCAGTGGGAGTGAGTGACAGCATGGACGTGAGAGGAAAACATATGCCAGCAGGGTAAGCAGATCACAACACATGCGAGAGTGTGTTTAAGTCTTGTGTGTTAACTGCAGAGGGCTCACATGGCTGAGTAAAGAGATCATGAAACAGAGAGGTCAGGCCATGTCAAAACATCCTACTTTATCACAGGAAACTTGACAAGATACAACTTACCTCCACTTTCAAGGACGAGCATCCTCTTAAAAACTCCTTGATGTTGGTAATGCAGTCGGCTTCAGTTCTCGGATCCTGGCAATACTGAACACACACACACACACACACACACACGAAATAAATATATAAACACAAACCACGGCTTAGTATGGCAGACAGACATCTGACACACACAGGCACTTATCTAACGCCGACGTCACTGTAATGTCACTAACACATAAAAGCGCATAAAGTAACATGGCTGAAGCATATCGGAGAGTGGTAACCTACAGTTGTCAAAATAACTGTGGATTCTTCCTGCGTCTCCTTCATGCATACATAACCATTAACACCACAGAAACGTCAAAGTAGCCATATTTAAACACGACATCCGCTCAACTTCAAACTTTCAAAATAAAAGTCGCGTCAACGGCCAAGTCAGAACGTTTGAAAATAAAAATGGCGGACAACTTTTTATACTCGCTGCTTGTAAATAAAGTCCAGACTGCCCTTTTTAGAGCAATGTGTGCCAGCAAAACAGAAACAGTGGCAAACTAGACGGAGCTGGAAATCAAACAAGAGAGAAGTTAGCACTTCCGGTTTTTTTTCTACTTCAGCTGTACTGACGCCGCTTCTTTTTTTTTTTTTTTTTCAAAGGGGGAGGTCGCACCGGGAAGAGCCTTTCAGGAGGAAGTGACGAACCTTTGCAACTGTTATTTATCATTATCAACTTTGTCATCTCAACAACTGAGCTAAGCATGTTGTTAACGTTGATTTATCACATCCAAAAAAGTTGTTTATAAACTGAGTCTCGTGTAACACCCCCCCTACTCGAGCTTTCCAATATGGTCGGTGCCCGATGTGTTTCATGCACTCTTCCTACCGAATTAGTCCCTGTTTTGGTGGGTGTCCACACCGACTCACTCATGTCAAGAATGCGGAACATTTTCCTCGCTTCACAGGAAACCACATCTTGAAATCTGACGTGAAAAAGTCTCCCAAACGCAGCTGTAATTCGATGCATCGGGCATTACGCAAAACGCACAGGCGGCTATTGAAAACTTCACGGCTCGGGTGCTGCCGTGAGCTACAAAAAAATGCAAGGCCTGCTGCAGTGGAGAAGTTGTAGTCGGTACCGTTTCCATCAAACCCCTCCCTTCCTTTCCCCAGGAGCCGTCGATCATTTGGCATTTGTTGACTTAAGTTAACTTAGATCAACAACTCACCTTGGGAGTGAAGCCAGGTATGAGCCGCTCCGTGAGCTTGCACAGGACGACCCCATCCTTCAGCGATGTTTTCAAAAACTCCTCCGGGTCCGCTATGTTCTTTTTAGGCGAGCTGAGCACTCCTAGTGATATCAACCACGTTACAGTCTGCTCCTCTGGATTCATAGCTCCACAAAATGCTCATTGCCTAAGCACGCATTGCTAAGAGGAAAAAAAACTGGCGGCCTGTTCCGTATCAATATGCAACTCACATCCGCACTTCTGCTAGAAGTTAAAAAAAGAGGCGGTGGGGGGAAGGACGACGCTGTTTCTACACGCAAAAATGATGATCACCCCTACTGGCAAATAGGCACCTCAACAATAGACAGGCGTCTCTTTTTTTCCCCACTGCATAGTAGCACATGCTGGCAGAGGGCACTTTCTCACATATTATGTTACAGGTTAAAATGCAGCAGTGATCAGGAAGCAGCACCAGGGAAGTGATATCTGGTGTGCATCAGCAGATTTCGCAAGAGGAAAGAAAAAATCTACAGTAGGAATAAGTCAGTGTGTGATCAGTAGGCCTGATGTGTAATTAGTCTGCTGACATTCACTGTAACACCATGGCATCTTCAGTATGGTGTACCATTTTGATGAAGTGCAAACTAGGTCATGCTGAAGTTTTCTGACACAGCAATACAAGCTGTCAGACTACTGCTGCCAACCCATTTATGTAGACTCGAAATTCACTATGGTAACTGATCATGTTGGATTGTTTCACCATTAGAGAAGCTTCAGTATCACAATGGAGGTGGGGAAAAAAAAGGACACAAACACGTGACACATTAAAAACTACAATATCCAATTCAGGAAACGACTGTGCTACCTGCATTCTTCTTTCATGTCGAGACAAAACTGAGTGAACAACAAAGATCCTTTCAAAGTCTTTATTGAAAACACCAGAAACACTTTCAATTGAGCAAATCTTCAGCCTGAGTTCTTCCAACTTTCAACTCACATCTCCACTTGAAGATTCAACCAGCTCTCAACAGAAGCCTGTGCCAGCATCTGAAAGGCAGTAAACATAAAAAAACAACTGATTATATATCAACAGTTTAATCTTACAGCAATGTAAATGCATTTATTCATTTGCAACAAGTGCATTTAATCAATATTGCATGCATACAGGGTGTCTGCAGATATCAAACACTCAAACTTAATGTCAGTGTGCGGAGGATTTGTTTGTCAAGCTGATTACTCAAACTTAATGCTTTTAAGACCATTTTTACCAAATCTAAAACTGATGTTCGGGAAAATAATCTTTTTCTTATTCAAGCATTGCAGGTAAGTATAATGGAAAATATGGTCCCGTGCAGACAGGTAGGTTTTATGTAGTAATATGGTTATTGGAGTAAGTTGGGTTAATCTGCATTTTACCAGCAGGTAAGTGAAAGTGAAGAGTAAAAACACAGTTTTGGGTTCCGTGTCAGATTTAAAGATTTGAAATAATAGAAATGTGGACTTTCCCACAGAATAGAATAGAATATATATCTTTAAATTTGTCTTTGGCTCACCAAACACGAGACAAGATTGTAAAAACAGACAAACAGTATACGTAACACATATCACTTTAGTGTCTGGTTTGAAGCTCATCTGTAACTTTGTCGAGTTAAGGATACTGATGGAACTAAGGATGAAGGACTTCCTAAATACATATTTGGTTGCCAGAGGGACTCTATAGCACCTCCCTGAGCTCAAGAGTTCAAACTGGCGAAAGAGAAGATGGGAGCTATCTGCCAAGATACGCCTAACTTTCTTTCTCGTCCTTCCAGTAAAGAGTTGGGTCAAGGGCTTCTGTGGCTTGCTAATTATTTTACTTGCCAGTGTCATAATCTTAGAGTTTATTCTGTTAAGGTGACCGTACCAGGCAGGTAGGTGAAAAGTTAAAACACTCTCAACCATAGTTTTGTACACTAATACTAAAATCTGCTGACTAACACCAAGGCTACCTGGCTAGTGTCCTAAAAAGATAAAGTCACTGTGAGCATCTCTTGAAAATATACTCAGTATTTCAAGAGAAGCTCACATGGGAGTCCAGAACCATCCCAAGGTATTTCAAATTTTCCAGTTTCAACATATTGACCATCGAGTGAAACTGGCTGTCTCCGGATCTTGTTTTGTGCAAATAATCAATTCTTTAGTCTTGCTCACATTCATTTCTAACTTGCTGATGTGACACCATGTTTGAAGGGCATTAGTGTGGGCCAGATAGGCAGCTTCACCTGATTGGTCTGTTTGCTGTAAAAGACCAACTAAAGCCACGTCATCAGCATATTAGCTTGACTCATTTTGACAAAAAGAAATTGAAAAATGGATCAATTAGATTTGTGTGGCCATTAAGACCTAAGAGCCAAATTTAAGACAACTTAATGAGTTTTTAGGTCTAATACTTTGAAAATTTAAGACATTTTAAGCCTTTAAGGACCTGCAGACACCCTGAAAAAAGAGCCCCACACATTTATTTTGCAAATAACTTCTTGTACCTGCACTACAATCAGCCTGGTGGATGTACCCACACTGGTGCACTGTGGTCTCATTGGTCCAACAACTTGCGGACACATTCAGGTTACGTTGCAAGGGCAGTTGCCTTGGAGCGGCTGTCATCCTGCAATGAGAACATACAATTAACATGTTGCCCTTCTTTTGATCATGTATTCATGAAACATCTGAAAATGGTTTTATAGTCCTCGGTCCGACTGTGAATTTGCTTCAGCGATTGTTTCCAGTTTTGCAGTTAGGACGGTGGTGTTCTTCCAGAGGTCTCCATTGTTTGGATTGGCATGCTTGTGGAACAGGTTTTGATACTGAGAAAATGGCTCTTCAATTAAAAATGGCTCTTAATTTTCACCAAGAAAAAGTTCTTACCAATACTTGGGATATTTTTTTACTTGGGAATTTAAAAAAAAGCACTGTTGCCAATCATTTTACTGAGGTTGGACGATTGGTTAGGCAAAAAAGGGTCATTTTGAGGGCTCAGTTGGCAAAATGGCAGTTACACTTTCATTGCTGACAAGGGACGAAACTTCTTGGGATGTTGCTGCACTTTTGACAATGTTAGCTGATGACAACGGATTAACATGAAAAAGGCACCTTCAGTTGACTTCCTTTTTTCTTTTGTCCTCTGAAGGGAAAAGTTGTCGAGTATCACGCTTTGAGGGGAGATTGCAATACAGGACAATGAGAAACTCATTTACAGATGAGAAACAAAGAGGTTTGCTTTGCTTACCAGCTGTTGACTACCAGTCGAGTTGCATTTGGTTGTTGTTGCCTTTGGTTTTGTCGTTGCATGCCATCGAATGGCTCTAGGGTGATGGATCCATTTCCAAGGAAACTACATTGGAACATTTTGACAGTAACATTTGCCTAACCCTTGAAAACAGCAGCGTCCAGTTGATGGCACATTTGTGTTAAGAAGGAACTCAAGTCATTTGACTATTTATAAAGCACGAGCAGAGACTCACCTATGCTTTGCAGAGAACTTTGTAAAGGAGATCAGGTTGTAACTTGACATTCGTGTTACCGTCTCTGGTCTTGTTTTGAGAAATCGATGAGCAGTGGTCATGGTACAACTAAAAGCTTTATTAGAGTAGGAAAGCCAGACTGATAGGGCATTGCAGATTCCAACAGCACTGAGTGTACAAAAACTAACACTAACTTGGTAACTGTACTGTTACATGAGCAAGAGAAATACTAAAAAAAAAAAAAAACAAAATAACTTTTACACATTAAAAAAAAAAAAACTGGGAAAGTCAAAATACAATTCAAAGCTAAGCCTTATATTCCACAGATTTAGACATGGATAGTTTGTCTCGTCAGAGCTCTTCCAAAACAAGTGTTAACTGTGCACGGAGACTAACGTTTGCTTTAATGTGATTTCCAAGTCCAGTTCAGTATCTGCTGCGAGCCATCCCTCTATCGGGTCGATTGCCACCACGGCCACCACGTGGCCCTCCACGACTTGAGCTGCTGTACGAATCACGAGGAGGGTAGCCTCTCTCAACAGGGGGAGCTGGGCCCCTCTCCTGCCTGCCCATTCGCTCACCACGGCTAGGTGGATATGGGTCACTCCGACTGCTGGGGTAACTGTCACGACTGCCATAGCCATCCCGGGAACTGCTGCCATAGTCATCGTAACGACTGCTTCCACTGCTCCCACCATAGGATGGTGGGGGGCCCCGTGAAGGTGGGGCGCTTCGAGAGTTACCTGCAGGGTCAAGTTGGTCAGGTAATTGGCAAGGTTCAATTTATACATTTTCTTGCACTTTAAAGTGCTCACTTTTTTGCCAATAGAATTCACTGACAAATAAATTTAATGGACGACATGTTTTATCGAGCTTAAGTTTAACATGGATATTTAGTTGATATGGGCAGTAACATATCCAAGCACAGGGAATAAATGGGCAGTGTTACCCATTTCAGCATGCCATTGATTTGAGAAGCCATTTTTCCTTTTAGAGCTCCAAGTGTTAGAACTGTAGGTAAGGACGAGGTTTTCAGAGTTGTCTTGATGGTTTTTTGAACGTTACTCCTTGAGGGAGTGCTCTGCTAGGCAACATATACTGAGTGGTCAACGGATGTTTCCAAGGACTTTTTGGGGTTCCTTATGGTTGCAAACTTTCTGGGGCACATTACATACTCTGTGTTATCTCTGCATGATATTGCCAAAACACATATTCTCTTGCCGAATGCAGCGGTAACATGGACTGTGATATGTGGACAGTTTTCAAATGGAATTTTGTTTCTCAGCTGAGATGCCAATAGTCATATTTCTACTAGCATGAAAATATGCAACTTGGATTGCAGGTCAGGGGTGCAGCAAAGGGAAGCTTAAAGAGGCTGACTGAAATGCTGCTTCCTTTAGGGAGGGGGACAACTGCAGCGTCTTGTGACTGGAGATTGCGGTAGTCAATGGTATGATTTGGTTGGTTATTTGTGCAGCTCTTCTTGGTGCCACAGTGGTTATCTGTCGTCATTACACTAATGGAGTCATATCTTACCGTAACCATCATATGAATCTCTGTAGGAGCCACCACTTGAACGATCCATATAGCTTCTGGGTTCCCGGCCTCCCCCATAACCATCACGGTCACTACATAATGGAACAGCTGTTATTTAAGGACCAAGAGAGATGTAATCTCAATTTTTAAACTGTTGTACTGACCCATACTCCTACCTGTATCCCCTCGACATCGAGCCATAGTCATCTCGGGAGCTGGAATTGGAGTATTCTCTGTATGAATAATCTCTCTGAGGAGGGCCGTAGTCCCTCGAATCTCTGGAATTGTAATCCCGGCTGGAGTAGCTGTAAAACATAGCACAATAAACTGCAAAGCTGCAACCAGAATATGTTAAATATTCTATATACTTTTTTTGTCTGACATCCATAGAGTCAAGATTTCCATTACACCTAAGTAACTTAAAAATATTAGTTGCGTTTTATTATCTCAGATACAGGAAAGCTCAGACCCAGCTGCCCATTCATTTTCAAATTAAGTAAAAGAAGGGCAACAGATTGAGATTTAAGAAGTATAATATTTAAATCTGAATCATGTTTTATTGTAATGTGTATTCAAATAGTTTTCTTAAGGCACATATCTTAAGTCCACAAAACTTTTCTCACAGCTTGTGTTTAACAAAATGATGTAAAGATGTCTGAAACAAACATTCAAATTACTTTTGTTTTAGCTCAACAAAGTCTGCAAAAGCTTTGCTCATCCAACTAGTTTCACGTCGCTGTATGATGTAACTAAATATGAATGTCCCACCTGTCTTTGGAGTTGTAATGATCATCTCTTGGTGATGGATAATCATCCCTCCTGGACATCATGGAGTCTCTGCGAGGAGGGGGTGGACCATAGGGATCCCTGTCTCTTGACATGGGGGCTGAAAAACACAAAGTAATGACAAACTGACTCATTAATCACTTCATAACCCATCTGGGTTCTTGCAGCAGAGCTAGATTTTAAGTGAAAATTGGACGCTACAAAATCTCTTTTAAGTGTACACAGCCAACACACTTACTTCTGCTCATGGGACCAGATGGGGCAGACCTCTTGGGTGGGGGACCTCCATTACGAACTGGGGGTCCTCTCTTCATCGGAGGGGGGCCTCTGGATGACATCCCTTTAAAGAAGGGTTCTACATTCCCTGAATTATCATAGTAGTCTTTGCACAGACAAGAAATGCGAATATTAACACACCATGCTCCAAAATATATGATAATAATATATTAATATAAATATATATATTGCATTAACACACATTATATTATCTCAACCAACCAAATAAATTAGGAATTTACCTCTGGATGGTGGGCCCCTCATACTGCCAGGGCCTCCCCTGGAACCACGGGGGCCCCTGGGTGGACCACGGCTGCGGGAGTGCATGGGCGGAGGTCCTCGCCTGCCAGCACTCTCAAACTGGGGCTTTGTTGCTTGCTCCACTTTGATAGGCTTGCCATCAAGAGACTGTAGTAGAGGAGTTACAATTACAATCACAACTTCAAGCTGATGTTTTTTTTTGTTTTTTTTTTTAAGATTATGGCTGATTAAAGACTGTACTTACCTTTCCATTCATCTCACGCGCTGCATCCTTTGCATCAGCCGGACTTTCAAAAGTAACAAAAGCGAAGCCTCTTGATTTGTTTGTTTCGCGATCTTTCATCAAAAGAACTGGAATGAGGAAATGCAGAGTGAGAGGAATGCTTTGTGACTGATTCCATTTTTGTCTGACAAAGGTACAACATTCATTGATCTTGCTACAGATTTAAAATGGACGAAAGCTTATTGTTACCCACATTTTAAGAACTGTAACCAAGACCAATAGCTTTTGGTTTTAACTAATGTCTCTTGCACGGTTTAAAGATTTCCTTATATCTTGCAGCAAAACTGCACATAAACGTCCTTGGCAATAAGATATCTCAGGATATCCTTCATGTTAAGTGACGAGAAAATGGGGACTGGAGGAAAGGGGGTAATGAGCTTAAGATTCGTTTAAGAAATGATACCAATAAATTCACAGATTTGTAACAACTAATTCACAAAATAAGCATTAAAGGAATTCACCTACATTTAATGCCTTTACAATTAACGTTACAGCCAAGTTAGGGCACACATTAAAAGCGCAAATAGGCTATTTTAAAAATAACTAAAACAGCATTGCGTTTTTAACAATAAATATTTTATCCTGAGTTATCCTTGGTATGAACTGATAAAAAATGGCGGACAGTGGTTCCACTCATACCTTCGACAATCCTGCCATATTTACTGAAGTACTGCTCCAGGGCCTTCTCGGTGGTCTCGGTGTTCAGTCCACCGATGAAGAGCTTCCCTGGTCGGTCTGCCTCTGCCATGCTACTGAATTCAACACCTGCGGCAAAAGAAGGGTCGTAACATTACATGGCCATTGAAACTTTTAGCATTAGCAATCTCAAATATGCAATGTTATTTTTGGTGTCGGTATCCAGACATTTCTGGGATGATTACCTCGCTGCTGGCGAAGGTCTTGGGCTGTTGAATGCGCAAAATGGCGATAAACGTGCTAGCAGTTTTAGCTAGTTCGCTAACGCTAGTTAGCAAGTATGCGAGCTAACAATGTGGGACTCGAGCTTTACAAAACACGATACTTTAAAAATATAGAAAAGCAGCAGTGCTGTGTAATTTATTTATGTAAGCACGCAACTATCCGTTCCCAGACTTCGATATGCCGCGGCTTTTGTGCTACGTGCACAACAGTTCTTCCGCTCCCTTCTTTCTTCTTCTTCTCTTCGATTTCCGGTAGTCCTAACAGCCCAAGACATAACACTGCCGCCCACAGTTCAAATCCGGTACTAACAGTTTATACACAACGCATGTGGTGTTTTTACATTGAGTTTGCACACCAAGTGGAAAGCAATGATCATAAATCATAAATGAGAATAACCTAACAAGTAAGCACAATCTTCAGCAATAACACCAGACAATAAACAAATAAATAAATAAACACGAGTATGAACACATATAGGGGTTTACCTAATTGGTTATAAAGTTGTAAGGTATGCATAAATCAATCGTTTTGCTCATTTTTTATTATATATTTTTTAGTTTGATATTGTTTTAAGCTATATCCTCCTGAGACCCGAATTTTTGTTTTGTATGCATTTTTAATTTCTCCTAGCTATTTGGCATCAATAGGTACTGATACTCTATGTATTAAAAAACTAAACATTATGACGATAATTAAGTCCCAGTGCTCTCAAACGAGACAACAATAAAGTCCCAATGTCTTCAAAAGAGTATTTCGTAATTAACAGTGTCCTTGCTTGTTGCTGTTGCTGAAATTGGTCAATTTTATTGCCCTATCGAACTACAAACACGTTTCAACTGCAGAAATGTCATCAGGTTTCGGACTATGTCCACTTTTCTGTGGGGATCGGCTGTAGACTGACTTGGCAGAGATTGCTGCCATCTTGTTTTTACATGGATTAGTGTACTGTGCTCTTACTACCACTAGATGGGGCACATAAAAGTGTCCATTTATGAGGACAGCAGGTCTAAGTTAAGTAAAATGAAGTATAAGGTCAAATAAACCCAAAATGTGATGTCCTCATATGAGGACACAGTGTCTCAGGAGGATAGATCCAGATGTGAATTCTTGAAAGAAGGATACAAGGGCAATGTCTTTAAGTAGGCTATTTTGTGTTATGAATGTAAAACTGAGCTAAGATAATAACATTGATTATATATTGGTCATTTTTGGAGAAATTTGGATTTTTGAATATTATTAACAGATCAGGTTCTTTGAGTGAAATGTTCTTGTCAAAATGGCCTCAAAGATTCAACTGAACTTCAACATATACATATGTGTGTGTACAT